TGGTCTAAAAATCAAAATGCAGATGCTCTTAATTGTGCACAAACTAAACGTATGTGTTCGCAGCAGACGTGTGTTGTTAATTTCCAAAGGCCTACAACTGTATATTTAACTAACTATTCAACGTTGGAACACGCACAACCAACCCAACAACCTCTATATTCAGCGTTTGTGGTCAAAGTGACACAAAATAAAGAGAATGTTGGAAGATGCTGAGGGTAATAAAAAAAAAAAAAGAAATCCAAATCAGGGAAAAGGCTTTGCATACTGGCTGCATTTTACTATAATAGCACACAGGCGAGCAGTGGAAACACCATCTAGCAGCTTGCTGTAGATGTAATTGTCCTAGCTGGAAAGCCTCTTTCCTTTTTGCAGAGGGTGCACCCAGATTTACAGCTTGTCAGCAGTAACAGATCATAGCAGAGACACAGCTCTGTGGCAGTGACAGATTTTCTGTACATAACAATTGGAAGATCGTGAATTTTAGACGGCATGTCTTTCCAGAGAGCATATACTGAGGCAATTTGAGAAGGGGTTCAGCTTAGACAGCTTATGTCATACATCAGTTAATGTTTAATGTTTCAAATCCACAAAGTCACTGACATATTAAAGTAATCATTGCTGCGGTGATGACAAATTGTTTTCCTGACATTTCATTCAAATATTTCCAAATAACGATTAATAATCTGAAGATAAGCAGAGGACATGTCAGACAGTGCACGTGCAGTTTGTAGCCGGGCTACGAGTGTGATTGGGCTCAGACGTTTTCCATTATCAGGACTGAAGGATTCTAAGCTGTTTAACTCATTTATTTGTTGTTACACAATTTGATATGATGCAAGTGTAAACAGATTTTAGATGCATCTGAAGAAGTGTATTTCCTTTCACAATATGCTTGCAATAGGTACTGCTGCAGCGCATTTCTGAACTTCAGCTTGTAACACTTCATCACAGTCCTTTCAGATTTTTGACATTCAGATTGGTTTGATGCCAATCTGGTTCCTATTTGTCTTAGTAAAAGGCTTACAGGCACACAATCCCAACAGACCTTTCTATTTTAATTAGGACATTTCTGGCTCGAGACAGCCTGCAGTCCTTCCCTTGTGATCAAGCTAATTTTAGGTTCCCTTTAAGCATCTGCATAGCAGGTTGTTCCAAACATCTTCATAGGCTGCCTGTTTCCAAAACAAAGCCACAGCACTGTAATTATAATTTGACAATAAACCAAGCTAACCAGCATTTGACCCAACAACATCTCAGCTCCACCCAGTCTGCCAGGCCAGACCCTGAAAGCTGTATAAAACAAGAACACAACAACAACAGTCACACACACTCACAGAAAATTCCCCATTGAAGGTATTCATGTTGTTATACTTTTAACGAGTTGTTGGCATTTTTCCCCCCATAGAAAAATAAAATTACTGAGAGCGGTTAATGTCAGTCCTGTTGGCCCTGTCATTCCACAAGTGGCCTTTTGCCTTGTAAGCGATAGCCTGAGAAAGGGCAGCAATCTTATCACTGGAGAGAGCACATAGAGAAGAGAGCCAGACTGCATGCAAAGAAGGCTGCTTGGGAAGGAATGAAACACACACACATCTGCAAAGAGATAATTACACTGATAAAAGATTAAGATTAATGAGATAACTATGGGGGAAAGAAAATCTAAATATATTGTTCTGATATCAAATATGGAGGACCAAAACTGCCAAGATCACAAATAAGTAAAGAACTAACCAAATTAGTCAATGTGTAAAATATTATGCCATTAAATACAACAAATAATATAATCAAAATAAAGGTAGGTATTACTTTACAAAATGTTATATATATATTTTTTCTATTTATTTAGCCTATTTTGTTTCCCTAACCTCATTTATTTCTGTATATGTTATTTATTTTACTTTTGCACATCATCTATGCATTTAAAGTATTACTAAAGTAACATAAAAATAATTGTATATAATAATTAAGATATTAATTAAAAATAGATTAAATTAAATAGACTGCATTTATTAACATTAATATTTATTTATTTATTTATTTATTTGTTTATTTATTATTAGGGTATTTTACAATAGAACAGTTTACAATACAATACAATACAATACAATACAATAGTCAGACTATCCTTTACAGTATCAAGAAGGACAGAACGCAACAGATTGAGTGCCAAAATAATAAGCAGCACTGCTTCAAAGTTTGCAGAGCTAACTACAAATGTAAAAAAAGAAATTGCAGCTTTAAATCAACTACGCTTAATAAAGCAGCATGTCAAATTCTATAATTAAACACATATATGTATAACTGTGTAACATATGCATCCTAGTGTTATATGACTTGCAGCACTCTGATGCTCAAGCTCTTGTCATATCTCAAGTGGATGCTGTGTTAGTCCTGGGAACTCTAAACAAAGATAAAGCTGCCGTTCCTGATGACTGGAGAGCCGCTGTAGCACTAGAGAGTGCCAGGACGGGGAGTGGGGACTTGAGATAGACAAGGTGGGTGAGGGATGGTTTCACAGAGGATGCGGATATGAAGAAAAGGTAGGCTGTGGTTCAGTATCTGTGCATGGGGATTAACTGATATCATAGGCAACATTCTCTCCTCCAGTCCAGATACTTTGGAGACAGACAGTTCAAATTCCTTGTCTGGATGTTATTCTCCATGCAGTAAGACATATTCCTGGTTATGAGCAAGTGGAGATTAGTTAGCTTGACTTTTTTTTTCTAAATTGCTTCATTGTTTAGTTTGTCTGCCTGTACATTTTATTCGGTACTTAATATTGGTCTGTAAACAGTGGACTGCAAAATTTTAATAACACATTGATTAAGTTTGCCCAGTGACACACTTTTGTAAGCCTCATTTTAATCGTTCTTTTAATACAAATATAAAGATCTTATTTAATTCTAAAAGTCCCCTTTTTGTATGTAAGTGCATGAATGGCTTTTATGCCCCGTTATATCTATGATGTGCTGATTGTGAGTTGAATAGACAAGATAAATTCCACACAGTGTACATGGTTATTGTGCATATACATGTAAGTATACACATACAATGAATAATAATATCTGCAAATACATCTACATTTTCTAGAATATGATCATGTTGCAAAGCCCAAAATAAATATTTGTAGATGTGTGTGCATGTAAAAATAAGGTTAATGGACAATTGCTTATATTTTCTTCATATTGCATAATCACGTTTGTACATGCTACATTCAATGTAGACATATAATGCATTTTATTTGAGTTAATTGTTTAGCTAGATTTTATATTGTATGCACTGCTTTAGTTGGTAAATTATATGCAGCCTTATTTTCTCTCTCTCTCAAGTAACTGAGCCTAAAAGTTTTACTAACAAATTAAATGCATTCAGGATTTAAATCACAACACGAGTGCCAAGTTCAGTTTTGGCTTCTGTTATAAAAAGTGCATTAAACACAAAGATCTATAAACGGGTGTGATATAAAGAGCCCACTACTGGGAACTATGACAGTGCTCCATCTCCATGGTTACTCTGTTGTGTTTGTACCAATCAATTGTTCTTCATCTTCAGCTGCTTTCACACAGACAACTGAAAGCCTCAAGTCTTCATGAGTCAGGAGCCAGCAGCAATGAATAAATGGGTAACTTATTATGGTATGTATCCATATCATCCCGAAACAACAGGAGCATTATAATCACATCCAGATGGACTCCTGCTCTTCGATAGTGTTGTGTTGCTCTTTCTTGTGCTGCGCATGTGGTCATATTTTGCACCTGCCAAGCAGCTGAAGGAATGACAGAAGTCTCTTTGGTCGGATGATTGACTGTTGGATCTTCTGCAGGAAATAAATTACATGATGTATTGAAATACAGTAAAAAAAAAACACTCACATGTGACAGAGCCAGCGCATCACTGATGAGTGAAAAAAGTCTGCTATATACTATTAGTTATGAATATAACCCCCGAAGATTAGTGCTTTTTAAAAACAAATAAATAAACCTTTTTTTAATCAATTGACTTAATGTAAAAAAAAAATACAATAAATATTAGAGAAAAAGCAGATACTAAAATCCACACTAAGTTAAAATTTCTTTTGTAAATTTATCTAGTAATATCTTACATTTCCAATTTTATTAATAAAAATAAATGTGGATATTGTAGGCATATAAAGTAACTGATGGCTTGGTCATCGTTTCTTTTTATAAAACATTAATTCTCTTTCTTATTTTGTTGGTTTGTTATTTTTGTTGGTTAAGTGAACATGCCCAATACAGTTATAATAAAGGTCGTCAATGTCACCGTTATCTTAGAACATACACGTCAAATTTCCTTTCTTCAAACTTTCCTTCCCTAAATGTAAGTGAATTACAAACAAAAGAAAACTTTACCAGACAAGATTAAAAATATTTGAAAACTGGACATGTAAATGATGTTTACTATTAGGTCTACACTTCACATAAGCGGAGATGTTAGAATTACTAAATTACTTAAAGAAAAAAAAACTTCTATACCAGAGCAATAACTGGAAAAAACAATATACAATAACACAATACAGACCCACTATCCACGAACCTATTCAGCTGCTTCTGAATGCAAATATCTAATCAGCAAATCACATGCCAAAAAAAAAAAGGTGATTTAAGTGACTTTGAAGGCAGCATTGCTGTTGGTGACAGATGGACTGTTTTACGTTTTTCAGACACTCCTGATCTTCTCAAATTTTCTCAGGAATTTACAGAGAACAGTCCAAACTGAAAAGCGAAATAAACATTTCCCTGGGTAAAAATGCCTTGTTGATTGCAGAAGTCAGAGGGGCGTGGCCATGCTGAAGGCAAGAGGAATTCTAAGCCAGTTTCTCAACCCAGCCCATCTGATATCAGTAATCACAACACATTCAAAGTCAATTAAAAGTCGCCTTTCTTGCCCGTTCCGATGCTCGCTTTCAACTTTGAAATGAGACCACTTGGACAACAGTAATGATAAATAATTGCAAATAGAGCATGTTTACAGAATTTAATGTCATTTTTATAGAGCACCTCTTATTTTAAGAAAAGATGGGTGAGACGATTTTTGAAACTAACTGCAAATTAAGCACACAATATTTAATATCTGTATTTTACCATTTTGATAAGACATATTTCAGTACTCCAAAACACTTTTATTAGACTGCCAACATGCTTACAAGTAATAAATCCAGGTTAGTGGATCATAATTAAACATCACTCTGTGGCAAACGCAGAGTTCAGCAGGCCATCAAGGAAGAAGTGACGTGCATTTCTGCAGTGTAAAGATTCACAAATCATTTTCTCCTTAATCTACAGTCACACAAAGCACCAGGAAAATCTTTGGTGATGTTCTCAGATGATTCTGACGCTTATCACCCAGTTCCTCGTGATGTCCTCCACACCATCAACCCTCTGTCCTCCTCACAGTTTCTTCCTCAGCTTGCCTTTCTTATGGCCACCCCTTCCAAAACCTGACTTTTTAACTTCTCCGAGCCACTTTTTGTTCTTGGAGCGGAGCTTCCTCATCCCCCCGCCCTGCAGGAACTGGTGCTTCTGCTTTTTCTTGCGCTGCTTCATGATCTGATCCTTTGTTTTCAGCTCCGAGCGTGCTTTGTGGTCACCGGAGCTCTGTACGTTTGGACCTCGTCGGCCACGGCCACGACCTGGGAGAGGCACGACACAACAAAGAGGTTGGAGGTTATAGCTCGCAAGGCTGGAAGAGGGACTTGAAGTATTTACCTTTAGAGTTGAGTTAAAACATGGTGGCTGATGGTCTATATTTAACAGGCAGACATGTTTGTGCTATTCATTTTGATGCCTTCCTACCTCTTGCTGGCTTCCTGCCTCCTCCGCCTGTTTCTCCATCTGATCCAGATCCTGTATCATCAATCTTGTATTTTTTCTTCCACTCCTCATAACTGACATGTTGTCAAGTGATACAACATCTTCACAGTACAGCTTAATATTGTCATAGGAGTAGAGAAGAGGGTCATTGAGAGCAGCACACAGAGAAGCTTTTTGTTGGAAGGATACAAGTTCTTCCTGTTCTTCTTGTTACTGATAACCTGACCGCTGTCTGTTTTGATCTTCTTCTTCTGGTCTTCTTTTCCCGTTTCTCTCACAAAACGCTTCCTCTTACGGTCCCTAAAAAAAGAAGGGGGAAAAAAGACTTTAAATTATAGTTTGAAATGACCATTTGGTGGATACTGAGTCAAACATAGGGAAATTTGTACCATTTCATCATTTTCTTCTGCTGGTTAAGGCGATCGCCTTCATCTCCCATGAGATCAAGGACAGCTGAAGAGGCCTGCTGTTCAAAAGCACTGCCCTCTCCACCGAGACTCAACCTGTCGACGCATAACACAGGACAAAACAGCATAAAACACAAAGCCATTCACATTTTTTAAAGAAACAGATGCAACAGTTTAATGCCTCACCCTCTCTCAGAGTCAACGTCTTTAGGTCTGTAAGGGATATAATACTCTTCATCTTTGCCTGACTGCCTCTTTTTCTTGGTCTTTGGTCGCTCTTCGCCATCTTCCTGCTGACCTCTTCTTTTACCACCTACCACCTCTGAAAACACCCCCTGGTGGAAATAGAAAGAATTACATGGCACAAAGTGACAAAGCATGATACAGAGATCCTACTATCTTCCTCTTCTAGTTTGTATACAACATCATCTACATCAAAACGGCACTTTATTTTGCTTCTTCTTCATCAGACAGCACAAACAACTTTCTCATTTTGACTCAAATATTGGTTTTGAATGAAAATTCTGCAACAATCCTGGGTGTTTATTCAACTTGTGAGCAGGTTTTCTAATCCACCGTACGATTATTATTGACACTAGTACATGTTCGTGCTGCTGGCAAACTAATACACTCAAGAACATATAGCAAAGGAAAGAAGTGAAAAGTAGGTCTTGCCTACATAAATAAACATAAGACAGTTGTGAGACTTTGACATAGTAACATCTGCAGTAATATTTACACCTGTGATGACATCTCACCAGCATTAGCCTTATTTTGAAACCAAGATTGTTTACACAGAGTTTGTAATTGCAGAGAAATGCTCCATTTATTTTGGTCATTTCATTTTTGAGCAGGAAGCTCACCTTTTTTGTTATAGCCTTTAGATGAATAGAGAGTTTTCCAATTAAATACATATTCTTTAAATAATGTTCCCTCTTATAAAAAGTAGGATAATTTTTTTTTTAATTTAAAAAAATGTATTATACCTCTATTACTTAGAAAAAAACCCTGTTTTTTTCTGTTGTCTGTTATATAACGTTAGTGATGCTCGTTTCAATTCATTTCTTAATCAGCTAAACAGGTCAGTTAAGAAACAGTCAAATATTAAGTTAAATTTGAAAACGGTTTAAAAAAAAATATCTCCATTCCAAAATGTCACATGACAATCTCATTGGCTCACGGAGTTATGATGTCACTACACTTTGATCCTTTGAAGTTTGTCCTTAAACAGGGGTGAGAAACAGCAGTTTTTTAGTTCGTGTCCTCGCAGCATTTGTGTTTGCAGCCTTCACGCGTTCACCACAGAAACTTTTGGAAACCTTTTCAGAGTTGTCGTGTACAACCTTCAACATGTATCCAACAAGACACCAACCAAGGCAAAAAGATTACGCCGCTTCTCCTTCCTGTCGTGGCCGGCCAATTTCCCCAAGTGACCTCTTAGCCGTCCAAAGGGCATTACATGACAGTAAGAAGGAAAACTACCACCTCCAGAATAAAATTCAACAGATTGAAGAAGAGAAACTTCAACTGGAGGAGAAGTGTAGACAGATGGAAGTGAAATATAAAAGCCTGGATGAAAGACAAAAACGCCAGCCCGACATAAATATTATTAATGAGGGTTGGGGAATCAAGTTTGGACAAGCCCGAGAGCAGATTGTCTTCCTAATTAAGGAAAACAAGCAAAAGAGCGTGGAACTAAAGGAGATGTCCAACCAGCTTAAAGACAGCAAAGCTACGGTTGAGAAGACAGAATGGGATCTCCAATATATGGACCAAATGAATCGGCTGCTCCAAACAAACTTCGATGAAGCTGTGAAAAAAAATAAAGAAATCCTCCAACAGAAGGAAGAACAGGAGAAAAAGCAAAGAGACATGGAGCACAAACTCAAAGTCACGGAGGAAAAATACAGAATGCTGAAAGAGAAGGTGGATGATACTCTGCGCCAAAATAAAGACATTCTTCAAGAGAAAAAGCAACTAGAAGGGGAAAAAGAAAAACTGGACAAACAATGCTCGCACATGCAGAAAAGGATGGAGCAAATGGCGAGAAACAACTCAGAGCTCACTAAGGGGATATTGTTGGAATACAACAACTTGAAGCGCAAACACACTGAAATGCAGGCGCAAAAGCAAGAACAAGACAACATACATGACGACCTGCAGCGTACGCTCCAAGATATCCACAAAAGAAATGAGGAGCTACAAGACATGTACAAAGAAGTACAACAAAGAAACGCAGACATGCACAAGGACAAGATAATGCAGGAGGAAACATCCGAAGAGCTCAGGGAAAAGCTTGAAGAAAAACAAGCAACGTTGGAAGAGGTGGAGAAAACGTGCAAGAAGCTTGAGAAACAAAACAAAGAAACCATCGATGAGTTGAGAACCCTCATCCTGGAAAAAAAAGCTCTTGTAGAAAACTGCATGAAAAAGAAGAACAAACGCTTCCGCTGGCCCTGGAGGAGGAACTCTACTGCTTCCTCACCTGGTGTAGCCTCGTCTTGCTCCACCTCTGTTCACCACCCCAACCAGTCCCGGCAGTTGACTGTCCCCTCCTGAGCCTGGTTCTGCCGGAGGTTTCTGCCCGTTTAAAGGCAGTTTTTCCTCCCCACTGTCGCCTAGTGCGTGCTCAGAGGGGATTGTTGGGGATTTCTCTCCTCTACCTTGTTTCATTATTTACTTAACTTTTTGTGCTTACTTCATTTTACCTTGTTTCATTATTTACTTAACTTTTTGTTCTTACTTCATTTTACCTTGTTTCATTATTTACTTGTTAACGTTTTGTTCTTACTTCATTTTACTTGTTTTTATTTACTTATTTTGTTCTTACTTCATTTTACCTTGTTTCATTATTTACTTGTTAACGTTTTGTTCTTACTTCATTTTACCTTGTTTCATTATTTACTTGTTAACGTTTTGTTCTTACTTTTTACTTGTTCATTATTTACTTGTTACGTTTTGTTCTTACTTCATTTTACCTTGTTTCTTTATTTACTTGTTAACGTTTTGTGCTTACTTCATTTTACCTTGTTTTGTTATTTACTTGTTAACGTTTTGTTCTTACTTCATTTTACCTTGTTTCATTATTTACTTGTTAACGTTTTGTTCTTACTTCATTTTACCTTGTTTCTTTATTTACTTGTTTAACTTTTTCTTTTTCAACTTATTCATAAAACAATAAACAATTGAATTTATCCTTTGAGTATTTTTCATCGAATCTTTTCATCTATAACTTTTTCAAACATTCATATCATCTTCTTCTTGAAACCTCATAAATGGTGAAGGAAAAATCCTGGAACATGGTTTGAAACACTGAAATAGTTTCAGCTGAAACCGGCAAAGTCATACATGTGTGTGTGTGTGTGTGTGTGTGTGTGTGTGTGTGTGTGTGTGTGTGTGTGTGTGTGTGTGTCACCGGTGACACGGTGTCACTGGTTAGGTCATCATGTTTAGGCTCATTCACTCGAAAAATTATTTAGGCCAAATCTTTAAAACTGTATCATTGCATACACATTTTCAATTCATTTCAATCGCACAAATGCAGAAATAATTATTTGCAGTATCTTATCTGATTTATTTTGAGAATGTCATGCCTGATCATTTGCACCCACACCACCAAAAATGGGGGCAAAAGGGAGGAGATCGCATTTAATCGGTTATAACAAGAGGTCAGAAATATAAGTGCTGCAGAAACCTCTGAATCTCAGCTATAAGCTCATGTAAACCATTTCTACAATCGCCAAACAAAGCAAAGTCACCAAACAGTTAAAAGAGCAGTTACGTCACCATGAATCTGTGGACAGGTAATATCCACACTTTCATTTATTATTTCCTGGAGTTCAATGTGTGCTTAATCCTTAATGAAACTGATGTAAACCTGCAACTACAGCAATCCAGGGAAGAAAGAAAGAAGCAATACTTCACCCATGCTTACTTTTAAATCACTCTCAACCTTTTCTGTAATGTCGCAGTCAGCAGTAGTGGTGGGGTTGGTTGGCTGCTGCAGCCTGCTTTCTGCAGCTCGGTCTTCTCTCTGCTTGCTGAATTTGTCCACTAGCCGAGTGTCACTAGCCGAGATGGACCGATCCGATATTACGTATCGGTATCAGTCCGATACTGACCCAAATTACTGGATCAGATATCGGTGAGAAATAAAAAATGTAATCGATCCATTAAATATCAAAAAAGCACCCCACAAAACTTGCCACACGGCGTAACTCGGCTCATAACCGTAGAAGTATGCATCACGTGATGGTGTATTTGTAGCCTTGCTACCAAACCAGCATTTCATCTCCGAGGAAGTTATCCCAGAGAGAAGTAAAGCAAGTGTGCAAGTTCATCTCTGAATGTCTATAAAGTGTTCCCATGTTAAGCTTAACAACAGATATATGGAGCGACTGCCTCTCTCTCTCTCTCCTGCTGCTACTTCAATCGTGAAACTGCTTAATGATCAGCTGATCGGCTTTTCTGTTGTGAGTCTGTCTCTCTTCTTTGTTTTTGGCCAACTTCTCACCAGAAAGAGGAAACCACCAGCTGAACAACAGCAGCACTATTAAGCTTGATAAGCTGTTGTTAGAATTTATTTAATATTACTTTCTACACCAGGATCCTTTTCTACGTAGCTGACGGCTGGTAACTGTGCAGGGGCGGATCTAGCAAAGTTTAGCCAGGGGGGCCGATAGGGCATGAACAGGGAAAAGGGGGGCACAAAGACATACTTTTTCTTTCTTATTCTCATTTAAAATGTCTAGCTTTTAATAAATAATTATCTGACTCTTACACCCAAAGTTTTAATCTGATGTAAAATATAGGGAAGATACCATCTGTGCAGTCTGCAATTCTGTTGAAGAAAGATGTTGAATCTATTAAATTATTCTTGAAAAATAATTTATTTCTGTGCATTTTCCCCCCTGCATCAAATTAAATTTGATTACATCGATTAAGCATCATGAGGTGGAGGGTGGTTCCCTATTTTTATTTTATTTTTTGCTCGGAGTTTGCAACCCTATTAGTTAGGTTGCTTAATATTTCTGCTAAGTACTCTTTAAAATACCAGAATAGGGAGGATGGAGTAGGTTTAAGTTTATTAGATTGATCAGTGTTGCTGAACTATGAAATATTTTGGGCGCAGTGTATTTTTTACCTACAGGTATAACAGAATAGCTTTAGTGTTGTTATTTATTTAAACTTGAGTA